CAGCCTGGGCCTTCAGCCCTCTGAGAGAATCTTTGAATTGCTGGGAAATGCAGGAAATTCCGATTGGATCTGGTAACCCCGGACAAAGCTGAAAAGTCATTCTTCAGTGAATTCTTGCCAAGTAATTCTGGCAGAAAAAAAAAAATATCCCTGAGAGATATTAGCACAAAACACATGACATACCCCAGATAGGGGATCAGACTGAAGTCACTGGAGCCCCATGCTTTCCCCTAACTAGAGCCCAGAGCAAAGAGAAACCACAGGCAGGATGGAAGGGAAACTTCTCCTATGAAATAATGACCCCAGGGCAGTTTCTAAGCCTATCAAGATGTGGAAAGGGAGATAATCTCTGCCATAAAAACAGGCCAAAAGGATGTGGTCAGAGCTTCAGAGAGTCGGAAGTTTAACACCAACAGTTCCTGATGAAAAGTGTTTTCTCTGGCTGCCCACGGGCCACTTAGGCACACTGCTTTGCATAATCTCTGTCATAGAGAGGTCTACCTTCAGTGACTGTAGTCAAATCATTCTGGGGATTTGTTTCATAGTAACTTGCCACCATCAGTGTAAATACATAGTTCTAAATGTCACCTTACCTAAGCAGATCTGAACACAATCTTACCGTTTTGCTTTCATTTGACTATTGATCTTTGACCTAGTTGTTATGTCACCTGTCAATTTGGTCTAGTATTGGGAGTGGGGGGGAGGGTCTTCTGTAATTTCCAACTAAGATTGTCAGCTGTCGGGCAGTGCCTGTGGCTCAAAGGAGTAAGGCACCAGCCCCATATGCCTGACGTGGTGGGTTCAAACCCAGCCCTTGCCAAAAAATAAATAAATAAATAAAGTGATCCTCTTAAAAAAAAAAAAAAAAGATTGGTTTAAAAAAAAAAGATTTTCAGCTGTCTAGATGTCTAGGTAAAAGATGTCTAGGTAAATTCGTAACAGTAATCAGGTATAATAACAAAAATCCTTTCACAGCAGCTTGATAGGACTAAGATAATTAAAAAAAAATTTTTTTTGAGACAGTCTTACTCTGTTACCCAGGCGAGACTGCTGTGGCATCAGCCTAGCTCAGAACAACCACAAACTCCTAGACTCAAGCAATCCTCCTGCTTCAGCCTCCCAAGTAGCTGGGACTACAGGTGCCCACAATTATGCCCAGCTGTTTTCTATTTTCAGTAGGGATGAGCTCTCGCTTGTGCTTAAGGTGGTTACAAAATCCTGAACTCAAATGATCCTCCTGCATCAACTTCCCCGAGTGCCAGGATCACAGTGTGACGACTGCTCCCAGCAGTTTACGTAAACTGTTAGAGCAGAAATCGCTCCCTCAGATTGCCAGGAAAGGACCAGTAAGAGGCTACCCCTTCCTTGAGTGAGGTACCATTTCTCAGATAACATTTCACCGAGGAAGCACCAAATGCATTCTTCTCATTTGTGACTGAATGACGGTTCTCTGGGACAAGGACACGGCATGGAATGGGACCTGGCAAGTCCTGCAAGAGAAGATGGATAGTGCTTCCTGTAAAGCGCACGCCTTCCTCTCCTCGGCTTCTGTCCTTCCTGCTTATTACAGTTTCTTTGTTTTTTGTTTGTTTGCCTAAGTTATGATTTATTTTTGTTAAATCATAACTGTGTACGTTGATGCATTTATGAGGTATAGTATGCTGATTTTATATATAATTTGGAATGCTTATATCAAACTGGTTAACATAGCCTTCACCTCTCGTAATTGTTGCGTTAAGACACAATAGGTGAGGTCCCACCGATCACCCTCCCTCCCCCCGGCCTCCCCCGGTCCTTCCCCTCACATTTCGTTTCTTCCTTTTCAACTCTTCTGTACCTTCACTGTCCTGGGCAGAAAATAAGCGTTTCTTGGAAATTCAGCCTTCCTCTTTTGCCCTTCTCATCCTTCTATTTTTCTTTATTGGACAAAGTGGAAGGAAGCCAATGTGAAGAGGAAAAAAAAAAAACAGAAAAAGGCAGAAAAGAGGAGGGGTGCAGGTGCATGTCTCATCAGGGTCCTCCCTGGCTGGGAAGTTTGCCCACTGCCTCCGAGCTGAAGCCCTTTTAAGGGACAGGTGTGCACGTGGCCTTTGAAATAGCAAAATGTGTTGCTTCTTAAACACTGGAGCCCGTCACTAAGTTACCACCGCCCTCCCCCTGCCCCCGTGCTTACCTGTAATACACGAAGTTCAGCCAATCACTTATGAGGTATATTCAAAATATAAATCGAAGTTCATCTTTAAAAGTATAGTTCCTAAATTAATCACATTTGCTTTTATATTTGTGGATGCCAGTGTTCAGTAAAGCCATAGAGATTTTTCAAATACTTTTTTTAAAGTAGGCTTTGGGATTGGGTGTGGTGACCTATGCTTGTAATCCTGGCACTTTTGGAGGCTAAGGCAGGAAGATTGTTTGAGTCTAGGAGGTCAAATTCACGGTGAGCTACAATCATACCACTGCACTCTAGCCTGGGTGATAGAGTGAGACCCTGTCCCTAAAAAAAATAAATTTCCTTTGTTTGGGTATTATTTCAATAACACCAATATGTGTGTGTGCATGTGTGCATTCATCTGTATCTCCACAACATACACTGCAAATATATATAATGTATAAACCCTTCCATGAATCCTGCCACAATTCTTTGATATAACTGAAAATTCTATATTCATGGATTCAGTGTTATTTTAAAGTTAAGTCAATTTGAACTTACAAATTGTATGATCCTGCTCTTATACCATCAACCAATCTAAGACAAATGATAGCATTCCCTTATTTCACCTGGTAAAATGTCAATACCAGGTCAAACTAAAGATCAAATTCCCTTTCTAGCCAGCATTTAATGTTATTGGAGGACTGGACAAGGGAGGGTACATGTCACACAGAAGACATTTCTGTTTTTGTTTAATTAAAAAAAAATTTTTTTTAGGGCAAAGCACAGTGGCTCACCCCTGTAATCCTAACACTCTGCTGAGGCAGGAGGTTCACGTAAGCTCAGGAGTTCAGACCAGCCTGAGCAAGAGTGAGACCCCTGTCTCTACTAAAAATAGAAAAATTAGCCAGGCATGGTGGTGGGCAACTGTAGTCCCAGTTACTTGGGAGGCTGCAGCAAGAGGACTGTGTGAACCCCGGAGTCCGAAGTTGCTGTGAGCTATCATGAGGCCATGGCACTGTAGCCTGGGGCACCAGTGTCAGACTGGTAAGGTGCTGACATCAAAATAGAGTTTGAGGGAGGCACATCTCACAAATGCACTGAACATCCAATGCTCACGCTTATGAACTACAAAGGAATCGAGAGAAGTTCCTTCTTAAATTTGGAGCATGTGGCCAACACCCTATGGAGAAAAATCTTTAGAGACACTTAGATACACACACACACACACACAC